GACCCGAGACCTTGAAGATTGACATCTCCAAGTATAGGGGAGTCGAAAAGGACTCCCTCTTGAGATGGTTCGTCGAATTGGATGACGCCATAAGGGTGCGTCGCATCGACGATGGGGAAATGCAAGTTGCATTTGCCCAGTCAAATCTGGCAGGACGTGCCAAGACTTGGGCACTGGGGCTCAAGTTGCACGACCCATATGCGTTTGGGTCGTTGGAAGTCTTCAAGTCGCGGCTCAGACAAACGTTTGAACCGCCTAGAGCTGAGTTCAGAGCTCGAACTGAACTCTTGAATCTCAAACAAGGTAAGCGTGATGTGCACGCTTACGCGCAACATGTACGACATCTCACGAGCTGTATAAGTTCCAACCCGGTTGATGAACACACGTTGGTTTCGGTGTTCATGCAGGGTCTTGCGGATGGTACCGTCAAGACTCACCTGTTCCGACTTGAACTAGATTCACTAGAACAAGCCATTTCCATTGCGGAACAGGAAGACTTCAGTCTGAGACAGGCTCGCGCCAGCTCGACATCATATCGTCAACCGAGACGATATGACAACGGAGGTCCAGAGCCGATGGAACTCTGTTATGTAGAGAGCGAGAAGGCTCGCTCTACAGACTACAAGAAGTTGCAGAGATGCAACAGATGTCAGAAGACAGGACACTACGCTTACGAGTGTAGTGCCCCTCGTCCAGTGTCTCGCAACACTGGGCGTAATGACCGTCCACCCATGAGAAAGGGGCAGGGACGCGGGTCCGCTGTTGGTGCAAAGACGCAACAACGGGATGGACCGTCAAAAAACGGTCAGGATCAGTAGGTGCGGAGCACCCTACTGGTCCAGCAACGTCAAGAGAATTTGTAGGCCTCTTGATGAAGGTTGCTCCCAACACACAAACGTTGTGCGTTGCTGCTCTAGGTAATGAGATCTCACTCATTACCTTGAAACTCGAAGTGACGAATAAGTTGTCCCTTCGAGCTCTAGTTGATTGTGGGGCGTCCAACAATTTTGTGTGACGCCAATCACTAGAAGATGGTCACTTCAAGTTTAGTGAATGTGACACACCTCCTACGAGGATGACGGTACGTCTTGCGACAGGCGCATCCGTAACCGTCATGAGCGTATAGTGAAGATCCACTATACGCTAGAAGATACCCAATATGACGATGACTTTGTCGTATTGGATTTGGATGCCAAATTTGATGTCATCCTTGGTCTGCCATGGCTTGGAAGTACCAGCCATGAATTTACTGGCAACATCGAACAGTAACGATGCCTGCCGCTTGTTCATCAGATGGTCATCTGATGAACGTTTTGGAGCGTCCACAAGCGTGTGGATGTACTACGAGTGAGTGCGATGGCCTCATTTGTGGTACGGTCGTTAGTACGACTGCACGAAACCTTAGTGTAACAAACGGTTACACTTCGGAGCAAGATTACGGCGGCTGTGATGAAACACAGGCTGCGCCGAAGGTCCACCACTCGAATAAGTCGGGTGGACCGGGACAAAGATGTATCCCTAGCGGGGAACATCTAGAAGAGAAACAATCGATCGCTCAGGTTAAGCGAAACGATAATCCTAGATCGACTGGAGAGTCTTTCGTAGAGGATCTCGCTGTGGTTGCGCAACCACAGCTAGAGGAAATTAAGGGAATAGGTCCCGATATTACGGATACGGTGGAAATAAGTTCCCCGAAACCCGCGGGAATAAGTCCCCGGGAAGCCGAAGGAATAAGTCCTTCGAGGCCTGAAGGAATAAGGCCCCAAGAAATGACAGAGACATTGAATGTCCTAGTCAATGATGGATCAAGTGTAAGCGCTTATACACTTGATCTGATTGCGCCTCCGAAGTTGACTTCGGAGATCACTCAGTTGGCAACGCTCGAACATAAAAGGTTCTTGCGTGATCTGCGTAGTGGCAAAGTCAAGCAGATCTGCGTACTCGTCGCTGACGAAGAGTGCGTAGCCGACATAAGGTCAGCAACAGTGTTCACTGAGAACGAGAGAGTTCTCAGTAGTTCATCGATGGACGAGAGTGTCCTAGATGAAAAGACACGAGTTGAGCGATATGACTCCCAATCGTGGGAATCGCTCAAGGAAAATCCTCTCGATGAAGATTTGGTTGAATTCAAGGATGTATTCCCTGAAACTGTTCCGTGCGAATTACCGAAGGATAAAGGTATTCGACACGAAGTCGAGCTTAAACCAGGCTCGAAGTACTGTGTCATGAAGCAGTGGCCACTGCCTCGTGAACAAGTACTTGCGATCGACAAGTTCTTTGCCGATCGTTTAGCTGCGGGCCATGTGAGGGAATCAACTTCCCCACATAGCTCTCCAACCTTCTGTGTGCGAAAAGCAACAGGAGGGTGGCGGATAGTGCATGCATTTAACAAGTTGAATGCTGCAACGGCACCGGCTCCGACGCCGATACTCAGGAAGGACGTAATCATTGATGGTATGTCAAAGAGTACCATCTTTTCGTCCATGGATTTGATGGATGGCTTCTATAAAATCCTTATGCGGGAACGGGATATACCCTATACCGCAGTTAGCACGCCTAGCGGCATGCTCTGGGAATGGCTAGTAATGCCACAAGGGCTCAGTAATGCCCCTGCCACGTTCAACAGATGTGTATCACATCTGTTGAGACCAGTACGAGAATTCGCGCCGAGTTATTTCGATGACGTATTCATCCATAGTCGGGCTATGGATGGAAAGTCGGACGTTGAGGTTCACAAGATACCACGTCCGACAGGTTCTTACAATCATGCGAAAGCATCAATTGTATGCAAACCTCAAGAAGTGTATATTTGCAGCAAGCGAAATACCACTTCTTGGGTGCATCGTTGGTAAGAACGGTGTACGTCCTGATCCCGAAAAGATCAAGGCGATCACCGACTGGCCTGTGCCGGTTGATGTCAAAGGTCTTCGAAAATTCCTTGGGCTAGCGGCGTATTTGCACAAGTATTCACGCAATTACGCCGAGATGACTGTGCACCTCTCTCGTTTGTTGAAAAAGAACGAGAGGTGGTTATGGAACGCTGAATGTCAGCGCTCCTTTGAGGGTATCAAGCAGAGCTTGATACAATCCCCAGTCCTAGCAATAGCCGATCAGGACAGGCCATTTCATGTGGTCTGTGATGCCAGCGATTTCGCAATCGGCTGTGCATTAATGCAGTACGATCTTGAAGGCGTTGAACGCGTCGTCTGCTATCAGTCGCGTCAGCTGCAACCAGCTGAGCGGAACTATCCAGTGCATGACAAGGAACTCCTTGCCATGAAGTATGCACTCGCGAAGTTCAGAGTCTATCTATTAGGAGATAGACCCTTCGTTGTTTACACTGACCATGCGTCATTACGCACGGCAGTGAACAGCCCGCACCTTTCACAACGAATGGCGCGGTGGTTGTCATTCTTTGCAGAATACAACTTTACGGTTGAGTACAAACCAGGACGACTTAATGTCGTCGCTGATGCACTCTCACGTCGTCCCGACTTTGAAACAGTCGCGAAACCCAACAGTGAGACAGTCACTGTTGCGGTTATGACGTCCTCAGTCCCATCTACAACGTTGCATGATGATGTGAGGCGGGCATATGCCCAAGATGGTGAGATTGTGAAGTTGTTGACACATCTCTCACAGCCATCTCGAAAATCGTTGAAACGATTGTCGTCTGCGTATCGATCTGCATCAGATCGATACACTACTCGAAACGGTTTACTGTATTATACAGCCGTTTCTGGTGACACACCACGTGTTGTCATTCCAGATGATACTGATCTGCGTTTGCGGATCATGTTCGAGTATCACGATGCTCCTATGGGAGGACATCGTGGCCGAGAGAAAACATATATCACGGTGAGTCGAGACTTTTACTGGCCCCGCCAGTATCAGTTTGTGCGAAAGTATGTTCGCGCATGCGAAGTCTGTCAACGAGTGAAGTCAAGTCCTTCACTGCGTGCACCTTTACAGCCTCTACCGGTTCCGGCTGAGTGCTGGGAATCCATCTCAATGGATTTCGTCTTCGGGTTACCCAAAGACGCATACGGGTATTCTAGTATTTGTTGACAGATTCAGAAAAATGGTACACCTTGTGGCTGTACCAGAGTCAATCACAGCAAGTGGCTGTGCTTGTGTCTTTATTGACACCATCTTCCGACTTCACGGGTTGCCACGTGCACTCGTATCAGACAGAGATCCACGATTCACTGCTGATTTTTGGCGTTCCGTGTTCAAATCACTCGGAACGCGCTTGAAGATGTCTACATCTGATCATCCAGAGTCAGATGGTCGGACGGAACGTGCCAATCGTGTCCTCGAAGAGATACTTCGAGGATACGTACACTCCTTTAAGAGTTGGAGTGAGTTTTTGCCGATGGTAGAGTTTGCCATCAACAACTCGGTGCATGCGTCCACGACACATACACCGTTTTACGTGAATGGCTTGCGCCATCCGCGTGTACCCACCTTACTAGAGTGTAACTCTGGTTTAAGGGGGGGAGGGACTCGCGCGAGCAAAAACCGATTTGGTTCACGCTCATCACGCTCTGACAAAGAGGTCATTGCGTTTGATGCCGATATCAATAACATCGATATCGAAGAAGATGGCCAGTGAGAGTGCGGAAGCTCTCACTGAAGAAAAGATTGTTGTCGCTGCAGTGCACTCACAGCGCACTGAAGCTAACGAGCCAGCAGATGAGTTCGTACTGGCTCGTGAAACGGTAGTCCGTTTTGTGCAAGACTCCATCGCCGAAGCGGTGGATAAGCAAAAGCAAAACGCTGACAAGAATGGAAGGGCAAACACTCTTTTATTTAATAAAGGTGACTTAGTCCTACTGTCTACGGTTAATCTACCAAAGCATGTAGTGACTAACTTGGGTAGTAGTAAACTTCTACCCATGTACATCGGCCCATTTCGTGTATTGCATCGCCTAGGCAATGCATACACAATCGAATTGCCACGTAAGATGTGAACGCATCCCACGTTTTACGTTGGTCGGCTAAGCCGTGCCATCAGTACGCTGCTTCTTCCGATGAAGAACGCCCTTGCGCTCACGCATCTCGCAGATACCCTTGTGCTCCCGATGGTGGGCATCGACAAGGGTCTGAAGAGCAGTTATCTCATCCCGAGACCGATCAACAATCCCACGAGCTACCCTTAGCTCGTCACGCAGAGACGTCAGAGCTCTCTCGTTCTCAAGCTGAGCAAAGGCAAACTCAGCTCGATGCCTCGAGACAGCATCCGCCAGTTGGAGGCGCCTGTCCCGCTCATGTTCGAGATCACCGCGTAACCCTTGCGTTACGCGATCAAAGAAGCTCTCGGGAACACACCCTTCCCCACGATTGTTTGGAGAGCGTCTTCCCTCCTCCTCCACCTCCATTAGAGGACTCTCGCGGTGGCCAGCGCTATCTGGTTGAGCAGCTGTTGAACCACCGCGACGTGAATGGACGTCGGACGAGTTATCTCGTCCGGTAGCGCGGCTATCCCCCGTCCTGGGATACTTGGGAGCCCCGCTCCCAACTGATGGTTGACGTACTTGTTCTGGTCGAGCAGTACGACACGGCGCATCCTGTGCCGCAGAAGGACCACCGGAGAAAGTCTTCCCGGCACGGTCGTAAAGGGATTTCAGGTTGTCAATCCCTTTGTACATCTCAGTAGAGATACGTACGCGCCACCACGGGCTAGTAAGGAGGTAAGCCTCCTTAGGTGCTCGTGCAGAGTTGTTCACACAACATGGGCACGAGTCTCCCCAGGAGAGGCAGGGTAATCCTTTCTCCCTAGACAGACGATGCATCTTGTAGCGTGCATCTGTCGGGGTTCGCTTTTCAAACTTATAACGAGCTTTGATAAGTTTGTCGTTCTAAACGTCACGACCTACATCCTCAAGATTATGGATGTAAGCGTTCCACGCTTGAAGCAGTGAGGGACCATCACGTTTGTGATTCCCACTGTACCATCGATTCTTAAAGAGAGCATCGATAGAGAATTCATTCTCAGTGTGATAGTCTTTTGCACTGGGGTCAAGGTGATGGATCCTTGACGAATCGAACAATCGTGTTCGATAGCGATCACTTGTCGTCGTTGACGAGCGATCCACGACCGACTTTGGAGGCAGCCATGCTTTCTTTTCGGGAGCGAGACGCAACACACTGCGGTCCCGCTCTTCCTGCGACGTGCCGACAGAAGTACTGGCACCTCGTTGCGAAATGGTGTCAATAGGAGAACCGACACCACTGTGAGCGCCCGAGTCTTGCGATCTCGAGAGCCTTCGCTTTGGCGATGGTTCATCTGATTCGTCAGATGAACTGAAGATGATACGACGAGTAGCATCATCCATGCCACGCTTGGCAGGCGGCTTGGTTTCAACCGCCTTCGATACGGATCCGTCTTCCATATCAGGAGAGTATGAGACACCGAGCTCATACTCTGTGAAGACATGAGCGTCTTCATGGCGAGCGTCTGCATCACCAGGTGATACAGACTGAGACGCTATAGCAACCGATGGCACATCGGTTGCAGCGGTTTCTGCTTCGGCGTCCGCACAGAGACGTGCAGACGCGCTCTTAGCTGCCTTGTTCGCGCACCACATCGGCTTGTTTACCTTGCGATGAGATGTAATGGACTGTGGACTCGGACCAACAAGTGCAAACCCCGTCCCAAATGATTTAAGGCAAATGATCCATTTAGTCAATCAGTCACTAAAGTGACTGATGGTTAAGGGGGGGTGATGTAACGGGGTGAATCGTTACATAACAATTTACAAGAAATTGTTAATAGAATATAACTATAAGAGTTATGTTCTCAGAATATTGTCATAAGGACAAATATTCTGGAGCACTTACGAGCAGTTCCTAATTGGTTGATACAGGCCATTATATCAACCAACGAAGACACGCCACGACAGACGCACGCAATGAGTGGTGAGCAGATAACTGATTTACACATTTGTATTTAGACATAGTTAGATGAGGATAAACAGTGATTTATTAACAGACATTAACTATGATAATTACAGTTCTACTTTTTACTTTAATCAAGTACTCGCCTCTTCTTACCGTCTTCCTCTTCACGTACCAGTGTACGTGAAGTTCCGAGGCACCGCCTTATTCTGTCATCAGAATAAGTAGCTTGTACTGTCATCAGTACAAGCTTCATGGTGCCCTGTTACAACATGTCATAACATCAGGAACGGTCAAATGAAAGAAGACCGTCGCGAGGGGCAGTAGAATGAGCAGCAAATCATTAAAGGAGGGCTCGTATGAATGTAGGCTTAATTCGGTATTGCTGGTAGTAAACAGGGGTGTTAAGTACAACTTTGAAGACTTCATGAGGCCATGAACTTGCTTTGGCTGAATGATACCCTCTAGAGACAAGTCTGTAAAGCTACTAAGATTGCCACCTTTTCCTTACGCTTGACACGTCTTACTCATCTGTTTAGGCTCCAGGAAAAGCACCTGTCAAGCCACCAACAAATTGACTGAGCGAAGGGGGCCTGGTGTCATGGTCACATACTCGTCTGTTCTCATTAAAAACAGTGATTGGTGTCCTATTTCTGAAGCAGTTCGTGCTTTTACGGACCATAAATATGTGGGATTTGAGTCCTCATTTAAAGTTTATTTATGAGCTTACCCTATGAATATAGTTGACGGTTCTTCAGTCATTCATTCCACCCCTTATTCTAACTGTACCAATTCACAATCATAAATTTGATCCATTCCTCAGTGTGCTGTAATTTGGAGCTCTTTTATGCTGGGAATTATCCCGGGAACAATCTTCACTATCAGTACTACATATATGCACAAGTCTTACTGCCAATACCAGTCTAATAAGCAGTACCACCTAGAAAGATAAGTAGTGCTTACCACATTGGACCCAACTTTAACACGGAATTCGAAATGTGTGATAAATCGCTAGCGAGTCTTTCCATTTATAAGACAACTTTCAGACTGATATGCTTGCGCGCGCTCCATTTTAAGCAAGAATTCGCTCACTTTATTGTTGGCGCCCACATGTGCGGTCTGCCCTATTCCTCGTCGAATACCTCGCTGCATTCGATCCCGGTCACACAAATCGAAATCGATCGAGGACGCGAGGATCCGTTGACAAAGTATCGGTCATCGATGTAAAGAAAGTAGCATATCGTTAGGAGTTTATTCAGGTGTCGATTGCGCCCACGTCCGTGTGTATGCGTAGAATTGATAGATGTACCCATGAAATAACGGGGCACCATTCGTTTGGGGTGCCACGAAACTTCACGTACACAAGTACGCACAGAGGAAGCTATTCTACTCAAATAGCTACTTGAGTAAAGGGTAAAAAGAGAACTGAATTTAAAATAGTAAAGCTATCAACGTAACTTTAAACTTTGTCTGACTATATAAAACTACGTCGTTTTATGACGACAAACTGATCACCACTCATTATGCGCGTCTAGCAGCGATTGGTGGTAATCTATGGTTGATATGTCTTTATCAGCCAATCTTGGAGCAGCGAATGAATATTATCCAGAAATGGGATAATATTCCATCAAAATTATCCATCTCGGGTAATATTGGTAGGATATTGTCATGCTAGACAATTCCCCCATTGCCACCGTTTGGTGTCAATATCATGTAACGGGCTACTCCGTTGTACATGAAAGATATAAACTGAGGACTTATGCGAGTGGTGCGACCAGGCCAATCCTTACCGGGTCGACCTTTTGGATTATTTGACTACAATATACACGCTTCAGACGCGCATTCCTCCTCGGTCACCAAGTTCGAGGACAGGCGGATGCCACTCGTCGACTGGGAGTTGTTCCCTCGATGACCGGGGTATGCGAAACGTCGTACGTTGCATGGTCATCGACGTGATCGTTCACGATAGAATTGTGTAGATAGGTGATCTTTTGTGGATCTGCATTTTGCTGTATACGACCGACATAACAAACGGGGTGCATCTACATGTGTGGTGGGAGAATGAGCCTTTAATATAGGTCTTCGACTTCCAAAATTACAACAAAAGGCCTGATTAAAGGTGACTAAAGTTTATAAGTATGATCAGTTAGTACTTAGAGTGCATGTTATGGTAGTGTGCTTGTACCTTATCTTAATTTTTTCTCCTACATCAAAACGTTCGTGTTTTTTTGTGACGAATCTGGTCTGCATGTTTTTTGCTTGTCCCGTGCGCTTGCCACCGCAGCACGGACCTTAAATGTGATGCCTAAAAGCTCAAACAGAAAGCGCTGATATTCTGTTACCCATTTATCGTATACCTCGCAATATACACCACCAAGAGATCAGTCAGGGGTCATTTCTGCTAATGGCGATGCTATAGTTTTGCCTTGGAGTACACACGATTTGCGTCGTGACTCGGACTTGACTTCTCCTGTTTCGTGACCACTGCGTCAACGGAAGGCTCACTAGAAATATTTTCTGCCACCACGTTGGCGAAAATATCATTCTCATCCGCATTTTCTCCAAGCGTAGTGAGACTCCCTACTCACTAAGACCCGGTCTGCGCACAAACGAGATTGGCGTTCGAAGATGGTGCCGTGTGTCGACATAAAGTGGTGGCTCACCCCTACTGGCGCGAACACCGTAGTTGATATCAAGCTCCAAGAGCGAAAATTCTTTGCCTTTTCCTGGTGAGTCGTGATAATGCCCAATGCATCCGACACAACGCAATTGGACCGGCGAAAATTTTGGATAATCAGTGGTCGACATATGAAGCTTGCTGCCAATCAGATTAAATACATAGCGCCAATCATTGGAAGTAAAATGTAGATCCCGGTCTGAAACGATAGACTCGGGTATCCCGTGGAGACAGATCACGTGATCCAGAAATAAGAATTCTGCCTCCTGCCTGTGATCGTACTGCAACACGGTGCTAAGAAATACATCACCATTCTCAGTCTGTCGACAACGACAACGATCCCATTCCTGCCTTTTAATGGTAAGGTGGCAATCAGGCATATATACCATACTCACAGAAATCTAACAGATAAATCAATATTGGCAGTAGATTCAACGGGGCACAGATAAAAGGTACAGGATTTTCGCGCTGACACTCTTAGCATGATCGTATTTATTTATTCACCTACCGATATAGGTATATCCAACAAATATCATTTTACGCTCGTAATTATGTCTTCTCACGGCCCGAATGACATCATGATTGTGTCTTACGGAGCTCAAGAATTTTTCAATTGGGATCTGCTTCGTGAACGAAATATATTACTGATGGATCACAAGGTGGCATGTTATTCCATTACAGGCCATCACTACATTTTAAGCGCTTTATCTTCGCTTTTGGGTGCGACGTACGAGTAATGTTTAGTCCACCAAAACGACCTTAAGCGGTCGAGAATGTTCGTCTTAGTTGTAGCTCTTTTTATAAAGGAGGCGTGGGCGTTGGTCACATCGTCAACCTGTAGGGCGGACAGTTTAGACGACATATTTCGTGTAGCATACGAGCACTCTCTCTATTCTATGTGATGAGTGCGGTGAGTTGATCGTGGTCCACAGTGATTTGTGGTACGTGCAAATTGGAAAAATCATACACCTAAGAAGGTGCACACGAAACTTTACTAAAGCATACTTCATAGAAGTAGCTTCTTGTAATTTACAAGGCATTTCGGCTCTTTGACCTTTTATACACAGGACTGAT